ACGTAAGACCTGACTAACAAAAATTATTTGCAAACTCTTATTCAAACGTGAAAGTAAATAAAATTTATTTCCTGTATATATTTTCTACTAAGAATAATTATATTTATGTCTGCTTTATTTTATAACTTAAATCTAATGTTATAAATTATACTGAAAACTAAAAAAGAAAAATGTGTAATAATCTTCAAGTGGAAAAAATCAGTATAAAAAATCTGCTAAGAGTAATTTTACCATTTTTTTTCCAATCCGTCACGGATTTTTTAAAAAAATAAAAAATCGTGGGTTTGGTCAAAAATAAGAATTAATAACTATGTAACCTTTGCATAAAGCTTTCTGTAAAAACAATACTAATACTTTAAAATCAAGATATAAAAACAAATGAACATTTTCTTTTCTTAAAATATCCTATATAATACTTTCATTCATTCGATTTGTGCGCTAAATTTGGATTCATTAAACTTAGTTGCTATTTGTGGGCTCTGCTTTGAATTTGGTAACAAGGAGGAAAACACCACTTATTATATTTAGTGCCAAATTTTCATTTAATATTGAGAAATGCTTCTTAAAACAATTTAATTAAAAGTAATTTTATTGCTTGATTGGAAAACTTTGATGCATGTTACTTTAATTATTTAACTGTGAATGATAAAAGCTTTCTCTCTTGTAAAAGTTCGATATTTATTGTTGTTTTAATCTTAGTCTGCTATCGCAGAAAAATTCTTTCAGTTTTATATTTAAATAATAGATGGCAAGACTATCGGAGTGATTGTTTTCATTTCCCTTCTCTCCGTGAAGGAACGATTTCTTAGATTCTATCTGTCAACTGCAAAATTCATAAAAATAACGACAAAAAAAAAAAAAATTTATAACTAATTAGTAGTCTTAAAATGCTCAATGAAAATTCTGGCTATTTTTTTTATGTTTAAAAATTGCTTAGACTATAGTGTGTTCAGCAATGGAGGCGCCATCTTTTGGACAAAATTAATCTAAGTTCTTAACGTCAAATAAACATTTTCTTTTCTTAAAATATTCTATATAATACTTTTATTCATACGATTTGTGCGCGAAATTTTGAATTCATTACACTTAGTTGCTATTTGTGGACTCTGCTTTGAATTTGGTAACAAGGAGGAAAACACCACTTATTATATTTAGTGCCAAATTTTCCTTTAATACTGAGAAATGTTTCTTAAAACAATTTAATTAAAAATAATTTTATTGCTTGATTGGAAAACATGTTTTTTTAATTATTTAACTGTGAATGATAAAAGCTTTCTCTCTTGTAAAAATTCGATACTTATTGTTGTTTTAATCTTAGTCTGCTATCGCAGAAAAATTCTTTCAGTTTTATATTTAAATAATAGATGGCAAGACTATCGGAGTGATTGTTTTCATTTCCCTTTTCTTCGTGAAGAAACAATTTCTTAGATTCTATCTGTCAACTGCAAAATTCATAAAAATAACGACAAAAAAATAAAAAAAAAACATTTTATAACTAATTAGTAATCTTAAAATGTTCAATGAAAATTCTGGATATTTTCATATGTTTGAAAATTGCTTAGACTATAGTGTGTTCTACAATGGAGGCGCCATCTTTTAGACAAAATTAATCTAAGTTCTTAACGTCAGTAAGTTCTAAAACTTCTTAACGCTATTATTTTATTTATTTATTTTGTTAAATAAAAGAGTTCAAAAATATAGTAAGTTCTTTTTGATATAGTCATTATTTTACTTACAATCTACAGTTTAAAACTAGCAATTTTTTTTAATCATTACAAATTGAAAAATTTATGAATAGAGTATAAAAGACTTAGAGAAAATATGGATGGAGAATTACTATAAATTTTTATTAAACTAGATGAATGAAATACTACATTTTATTTAATTAAAAGAATAAATTATTATAGATAATTACATGTAGATTCTTGTGGCTAAAACGCGAATAGAATTTTATTAATTCTCGTTTAAACTTGAAACCAAACGAGAATGAATAACACCAAGTACACGCCAAGTAATACTAATAAGTAATAACAATTCTCTATTTTCGCTAATTTAACCCGGATTTATACCTAATTTAACACTGAAGATCTACTTAACTATTCGTGAAGATTCAAACGAAAAGTAGTCAAATACGAAATAGCTAGCTGGAGGTTACAAAGAAATATACTCTCTCTACAAGACAAAGGCAGAGACTACACCAGAAAGTGTTTGCTTTTTGCTACAAGCACTTTTGATGATGGTTATAATTATAATAAATATTAATGAGTTCGAAATTGTGGTTCAGTTCAATGATGTCAGCTTCTGATTCTACAATAATAGTCATTCTACAGACAGAAGGGGGTGGGGCCTCTTCTAACGACATATAAGGCACTCATAGGGATTTCATACTGCAGTCAGAGATCCTAGGTTGTTCTAAGATATCTTTTTCGAACGTATATTTATGAATGCATCCATAAGGAACTGTTGCAACGAAACATTTAGAAACTTTTCGTTAAAAAAACTGTTTATAAAAAAAGTATTCTGAATTTAACTATTCATTTAAAAAAAACTAATTACCTCATAACCGTCCTTACTTAAGAGAAAAATAACGGATCAAAACAGCAAAAACAAATAAAGAAAAAGAATATTAAGTAAGAACGAATTATAAACTTTACATGCATCCAATACAAAAATATCCTTGACCAAGAATGTGCCTTCGTCAGTGAACGACACATTTGCACAAAAATCTCCTGCTGTTGAATTTTGATTAAAGATTTGACCCAAATATTTATTTATTATATCTGTATCATTATTGGTTTTACATTAAATTTGAACTTTTGTTATTTTTTATGTAAACTTGAAAAAAGAGAGCAAGCATGGTTAGGAAAATTAAAAAAAAAATTTTTTTGATATAAATTTTAATTCATATTAAAAATTTGAGGGGACACTCAATCGAGATTTTAGGGTATTTCTGATTTGATATTTACGAACCCAACTGGGCACGTAAGGGTAAAGGGTAAAAATACGTACCGATCTCCCTTATCCGCGCACTAACTATTTCAGCTTTTGGCATAGGCGTTAAATTTGACGTAGAACAGCTCAGCATCAAATTCAACGTATACGTAAAAACGTAATTTACATCAGAATGGAAGTAAACTCTAGGTAACGCAGTACAAGTCTAGTTCGTGGTGCCTCTTAATGGCAATTTATCCTAGACTTTTTATTTTTTACTTTCTTAGATTGTAAATTTCGTTGCGCTTTCAAAAGGTGACATTCCACGGCTTTCATGTTCACACAAGTTATTTCAATCTCAATTTAGAAGTACAATTTTATCTTACTTTTGCTGTCAACTGTCCATAAATCGAGTTAGAATTAGAAGTTTGTTCGTTAGACTCAAAGTTCATGTATCTCATAATGAACAATGACTCAGTTAACTCAAATCTCAAAAAATCTCTAAACATAGCGAATATTTTTTGACATATTTTTCCGACCGATATGCATATAATGTAGTATTATACAGATTTTACAGTGTTCTTCAAAAAACTATACCATTCATCCTATTATTGTGAACAGGTATACGCCAAAAGTGTGATCTTCAATCCAAAAAACTAAAAAATATTTTTGAACTGGATTAAAATTAATCTTAACGATAAATCTATCATAAAAAGAAATATTAAAGACAACAAAAATTATTGAAATACAATATGAATTTAAAATGACCTAACTGCATCACTGTAACTGTTAAATGTTTTCTCTATTTTAAAATAAAGTCTTGTCAGTTTATCGAGTTAATAGAGCTCATTTGGAATGTAGATTTAGCTAGATTAATTATGACATTTTAGAAATTTATAAAATGTATAAATTAAAAAAGGAGCTGTGACGAAAACAATTTTGGCTCACTGATGACACACAATTTTTTACCATTTTTATTGTACTATTTTAAAGCAAGAAACTGAATTTGAGAGTGTGTTGTAAGTAGAATACGAAATAATGTGAATAACACAACACTTCGCATGTTTTTATTCATTACATACTTTATATTATTACTATTATTATTATTATTATTGAAATTTTCTTTAATTTAGAAACTCTGACTACCACACAAGAAAAAAAAATAATTAACTCAATATAGCTTAGTTATGAAAATTTATTACTAAACTATTAATTCCAAACAGATGTATCTTATTCAAAAATAATTATTTATTATAGCTCAATTTTTATAAATTAAACTTAATGTGTTATAAAACTTCCTTGATTTTAACTATCTTAGAATTATATCTAATAATAATATTAAAGCATAGTATTTTTTGGAGAAAAAAATTAATGCTTAAAATGTCTTATTTTAAATAAACGACTAAAGGAAAATAAAAATACAAAATTCGCGTAAAAAAGAATTGAAACATTAAATATAATACGATATTTTGAATGTACTTCTTTCGTATCATTTGTTGAGTTTGTAATCAGATTAATCGATGTAAAGTACGCATAAACATATTTTATAATCTTTTTCAACCTTGTTTACTCTCTTTAGATAAAATAAATTCGATTAAAATCTAACTCGAATAACAATTGTTTGTAATTCTTTTCCGAAACTAATTGAGCATAGAACTCAAGCGAAAGAATAAGGAGATTCTTGATAAAGTAGAGTGGCAAAACTAGTAGGGCTATTATTTTACTTGAAATAGCCGCAAAATGCTCTGAAGCTTTTGGACACATGTTGTCCGATCCAAATTTTGACATGAACCAGTTATCTCGGACAAAATAATTGCATTTGATAATTACATTTGATGATAAAGTGGACTAATGTTTCTCCCTTTCCCCGATTGATTATACTTAATAAATTCATTATACTTCATAAACTACTTTATAAATTGTAATACTTCACAATAATGATTTTATAATAATGATAATAATACATTTATATAAATTATATTGTACTTTATAAATTGCTATACACTTTGAAAATTGCTTCTGATATGGTAAAAAGATCTAATGAAGAAAATTTTTTATATTTTTTTCAGATCTATAAGAGAGAAAAGTTTCAGAAAAAACTGTTAAGAGCAAAGGAATGAAGAAAAACATTCGAACATGCCTAATAATTTTATTTATTTTAGCCACAATGGTTTGCTATGGATTTCCTTACTTTCCAGAGTAAGATTAATAAAATAATTATATTTTTTATATCTGATTTTTTAAATGAAATATACATTTATTTTGCATTGAATCTGATTTCATTATATTACAATATCATTAAAAATTTTAATAAATTGAATAAAGCTTTCAACTGATTAATTTGTTTTAAAATCTGTTAAAGATGTACAAAGAGTAAGATTTTTTTCCTTCAAATATTTAAACTATATATATCTGATTTCTATATGACAATTATTTTACATCGACTCTGATCTCATTATTTTACAATTAATTTTAGTAAAATTTAAAAGAAAATTTCATTAAACTTTTAAAATAGTTAATTTATTTAAAAAAATATTACGTGAGTACGCTGCAGCGTCTTATTTTTTTAACACCAGGGCGTGATTACTGCTAACTAGACTTGGCCCTTCGATTTAAAAGGTTCCAAGCACTTACTCATCACATTTAAAAAGCAAAACATTTCATGGAAAGTATACAACATTAAGTATTATTTAGCGTTGAATCTTGTTAAAGGGGATGGAAGTAAAATTATAGAAAATTCAGAAATTTCATTTTCTTGTATCTCTATAAGCATTGTTATATTAAAAAAAGAATTTAAAAAATTACAATCATACTTTCAAAAGTACGAAATTGAAATTTATTTATTTGGTGCTAATATTTTGAATGTTGGTTCCTAATTTTAAATAATTGGATCGATGAAATTAGGTTTTATTAAATCTTCTTTTAAAATGAGGGTCAAATTAATAATTGCGTGTGACCTAGGAAACAAACCGACACATAAGGGATCAATTTAAAGGAGACACTTTTTTCATTGCCATAATATTTTCAATATCATTATAAAGATAGGTAAATCTTCTTCTATTGGCATGACAGCCCTTTGCGGGCCTTACTTTCCTCTATTCTGTTCTTTTCTTTGTAATTGTTCCCCAGTTCGTAATTCTTAGGATTTTAAAATCCTCTTCAACACAGTCAAGCCATCTGATCTTAAGCCTACTCCTATCCCTAATTCCCATTGGTTCGTAATTGAAGAACTTAAATGTTATTCGACAGCTTTACTCTGATGTATTTGTTGATATCAGCTTCCTTGAATAGCCTATATGTCGTTGTCCCCATTAGTCATCCACTTTTATAGTACCGAAAATTTTTCTCAAAGCTTTTCTCAGGTCTGCTTGTGATTCAGTTAAAGATCCTGTTTCGAACCCAAAAGTTAAGACAGGTCTAATGATTGCTTTATATAGCATTCTTTTTGTAAGTCTTTAAATTAATTTTGACTTCAGAAATGTTTTTTAAGCCAAGGTAAATATTTTGGTATTTTAAAATGAGGGGAAAATAAATGATTGAGTATGACCCAGGAAACAAGCCAAGACATAAGGAATCAATTTAAAAAGAGACACTTTTTTCCTTGTTATAATATTTTCATTAGAATTGTAAAGGTAGGTAAATCTTTTGGTATTTTATAATTAGAAGATAATGGCCAAGAGAACACATATGAAAAGAAACTAAATTTGAAAATTTTATTTATTTTCTTCTTAGTTTTAATTACTGTAATGAAATTGTAATATTCTAACGAAATGTTTAAGCAAAAAAGACATTCTTCAAATTTTTAAGCAAACTCTCATTTTTGCATAAATACACATTTTTATAAATAAACTCTATGACTCAGTAGAAAGATGCAACAAATTCAAACAAATAGAATTGTAGTTCTCCTTTCTGCCTTAACACTTGTTTTTATACAAAATAAATAACCTTCGTGACTCAATAAAGAGAAGTAAAAATAATAAATAAGTCAATAAAATTAATTAAAAAAAATATATTACTCAACAACAAGAAGCAAAAAACTCAAGTGCAATAGTTGTTTTCATTTTCGTTCAAATACACATTTTTATAAGTAAACTGTATGACTAAGAAAATAGAGAAAAACTCCGACAAATAGAATTGTAGTTTTAAATTCTGCCTAAACACACATTGTTATGAATAAACTCTGTCACTTAATGGAAAGAAATAAAGATAGAATTTTAGCTCTTGATTTTGTTTAAATTCATATTTTTGTAAATAAACACTTGTTCTTCGTCAGCACTACAGCCTAGGCCCAGGCTGTAGCTTTGAGCTAGATTTTTCCACCTGTTTATTTCCAACAACTTTAAGTTCTTTTCAACACTGTCCAACCATCTTGTAGCTGGTCTCCCTCTTCTTTTAGTTCCTTCAATATTCGAAAAAGTAAGTTTTTTAACTAGGTCTAAATCTTCAAGCTGAAAAAAGTGCCCAGCCATCTGATCCTGTAGGCCTTAATAACCCTCAAAATATTAGGTAATCTATATTTAATGTATATCTCATGAATATATAAACTTCTCTAAATATTATTTTTCTTAACTGCTCCAAAAATTGACCGAAGGATCTTTCTTTCAAAAATGAGTAGTCTACTTTCCTCTGTTTTATTAATTGTCTTATTTATTATGGTCTCGCTACCATAGNAGTTGTGACTGAAAGTCATCCCTGACTCTAGGGGTCTTTAATTGTTCGCAGTCAAATTTCTCAAGACGTTTCCCATGACATTTACGTGCATTAGATAGTTTGGCCTTGATCCTTGATCCTGGCCTTGATTAAGGTTTTGTATAGATTTACTTTTGTACCAGTGGAGAGGAATTTCGATTTTAATTGGTTCCTCAGACCAAAGTAGCACTTATTAGCTATCAAAAGTCTGTTCCTAACTTCAGCCCTTACCTTATTTTTGTTGGTAACAAGCGAACCCACATACTTAAACTGGGTAACTCCTTCAAAGGTATAATCCCCAATTCTGATGGACTGTACATGATGTACTCCAGAGGGCTAAATATTTATTTAATAATTATTTTAGAGAGAACAATCATCCAAGTAACTCAAAATCGTTGCACTCCTCAATAAAAGTTAGAGAAAATCGTGCAAAGTAAATCCGTAAAATTTTTCGTTTTAAGGAATAAGGGAAATCTTAGTAATTATAATTGGTCCGTTAAATAGATCCAGGGAAAAAGTCTTTCACGCGAGCTAGCTAGAGGGATAATTGTTAAAATGTTAATTAATGCATACTTGAACTAAAAATAGATTAAAAGACAGGATTTGAGTATTAATTTAAGAAAAAGATTTACAGAAAAGGAGTCACTTAAAACGTTTAGTTGATGCTTTCTATTATATATATATATATCTTGCTTTACCATTAAAAGGAATGTAAAAAGTGTGTTCGAATGAACTTCGGTGGAAGAGTTGGTTCAATATTATCTTTCTTATTATTTAGGGAAGATTAATCCTTCCAATGAGCGTCCAAATCAATAATATAAGTTTTTCATTACATTCTGTAAACTAAATTCAAATTAACTTCAAATTCAGCATTTTGATAGATTTCTTCAATGCTAGGTATTCTTCGAGCGATATTCCAGAGTACCGACAGACAAGAGTAAGAACTCAGTATTATGAACTAACTAAAGAGAAATTTTCACAGATGTCTGATGAAAGTTACGAGAAAGAAAAGAATACATATGAATCAAAACATCACCGAAAAGGATTTAGGATGAATTCTTATCGAGAACAAAAGAAAAGAAATGGATTTCCGTGTCCATGCGACAGTAAAATTACTATCGAGAATAATTTGTGTTGCCACACGGAAAAAGTAATACCACCCCCTAATGATGAATGGCCAAATATACTTGGTGATTTTGATGAAGATATTATGAATGATGGTTATTTATTTTCTGATCCTGCTTTTAAGGATAAGCTTTGTCAACGAGGTTTAAAGGATTACAGCCGTTCATCGTCAAGATCAAGAGGTGAAGTATTACTTTTTAAATCTAAGCTTTTTAAAATTCCTTATTTATTTTTAATTGTTGATTTCGAAATCGTTAAACCTTGCTTGTCTGTTTTATTTATTAAATTATTCAACGGAGAAATTTTATTTATTTACTTAAATTATATCAACAATTAACGCATTCAGGAAGTCATTCTATTAAAACTGTAAGACTATCAATCAATCAGTAACTTAATCAGTAACTTTACTTTATCCATTGCAAACATTTCAGGAATATTTATAAAAGTCCGTGATTAAAAAACTTCTAGTTTTCAAAAACTGATTACAAATAATTCTATACCGGTAATTCTATACTCATAATAATTCTATACTCAATTCATTGCAAGCTTGAATTTTATTTTATTTTGTAATTGAACTTATTTTGTAATTGAAGAAAGATTTTGGAAAACTATCAGGTATAGTTAGATTTTAATTTAAATCAAAGAAGGATTGCTGTGGTTTACATCAAATTTAAAGCCAATGCGTTGGTAAAAAAAAGTTAGTAATGTTTATAACGCAAGAACAAATTGTAAGCATATATATCTTCTTAACCAGAAACAAAATCGTTATCTTATGATAGAATGTATTTGGCAGATGACGCTATGCGTATCTTTCTTATGATCATTACTATAGAGCTTGGCCAAAGGATAGGGCCAAGCTATAGAGTATCCAACTGGCAACTGACTGATGGCAAAATTAAAAATCTCGGAACCAAACAGTATGGAGAAGTTTTGGAATTTAGTTGCAAAAGTTGCCACCTGCAATCCATCGTCGATCACAGCTATCTGTTATTACGCTGAAACATGTGAGAATGTTGTCATATCGGATAACTAGGTGCCATTGAGCACCGTAAGTTTCTGGTACTATTGGAATATTACAGATAAGATTACAGTCTGCGCCAATTGTATTCAAAAACTCAGTATAGCGTATAGTACCTTCCGCTTGCAACTTTCGTAGCTAAATTCCAAATTTTTGTTTTAAATTTTTTGAAGCTTTCCTGCTTTTAACATATTTCTATCGCCTTTTGTTTTCGATATTTTAAAATCAATCAGTCTTTCGCTGGAGATCTTGTACATATATAAAACATGCTGAACATAAATAATTTTAAAGCTTAGATATTTAGCAATTATTATTTGATGAATAATTTATTTTTTTAGAAAAAATAAATGTTTTAATTGTTGGAGATGAAACAATGGACTTTTTGAGTGGCACAATATATAGAGGAAAATGCAAAGTAAGCACAGAATCTTATCCAGGCTTAAGTATAACTGATGCACGGCAAAGAATGAAAGATGTTTTAGCAAAGGTTTGTTACAACCAATTATTGTTATTCGTATGTTCAATAAAAAAAAGGAAAAAAAAACATCTTTAAGCCAATATAACTTTGAATTAAACTTGCTAAATCTGTTTTTTTTTTCTCCTTCATTATTTGCGAATTGATAGTTTTTTTTCTGGTTGAATCAAATGTAATCATAATTTTTTTATAATTAGCTTGAGTTTCAACGCAACTGGGTAATAATAGACAACGCTCTGTCTGAACCATTGGCTCCCAAAAACGGGAAATACTTTATAGTTTCAAGGGGAAATGAGTTCTGTACTGATTACACTTGATTTTTAATCCATTTACTTGAAGTCTAAAAACAGGAGCCTGAAAGTTGTCTTTTGACGTCACAAGCCTGAAAAAAAATTAGGCAGAAAGAACGTGAGGCAAAAAGCTGATCAACACACGCCAGAGTCCTGACCTGACTTCGCCCGGCAATGCTTGTCAGTAGAATCGGAGGAAACAAATTAAATTTTCGTTCTTCGAGTGACTGCATGTGCCAGGGTACGGGTAAATGGAAAGTATGGCTTTTATATCTTCAGAAAATTGATTTAGGATCTCCTGAGATCTCTGGTAAGAGATAAAATTCAATTCGAAATTCTTTTAGTTATCCGTTGAAAAATTTTGTAAAGTAAAATGAATGTCTTTACCAAAAAAATTTTCAAAATTCTCTTTACCTAATTCTAATCTAAGAGTGCCAGAAAGAGTACTGTTTACAGTCTTGTAGATTTATCTTTGTGAGTAAGGCATTTGCATTACAGATAAAAATGACTTCAATAAATAGATTGGAAGTTGAAAGTGACTAGTGCTTTATATTTGGAAGCTCTGTTTGGCTCTTCTAAGAATTAGCGAATTAAGAACAATCAAAAGCATCTAACTGAAAAAGATGACTAAAAGCACTATACTAATACTTTATTTAATATGTAAAGAATTTAAATATTTAGCTTAAATAATAAATCGGTTTAAAAAATTAAAAAAAAACTAAAAAAAACTTTTGCATTAGTAAATCAAAATTATTGCTTAAATTTTCAAAAATGCAAAATTTGAATAAATATAGCAATTTATGGTTAGAATTTTTGTAGGGGCATAAGTTTCTAACGATGATAAAAAAATGGATCAAAATTGGTTGAGAATCACTGTGTTAAACTCAACTGTGCAAATGGGATCACGATTTTGAAAAACTTCAAACACTATTACGAAATCTTCGCGTAATTTTTTTCAGACAATAGCATTAAAAACGCAATGTGATTTTTGATTTTTTAAAAATTTGCATGAATTGAAAAAAAATTTTTTTTCATTATTGTATTTTTTAAATAAATTCTATTCTGACTTCTGTAAAAATGCTGTTTCTTTTTAGTGTTTGCAAAATTTGAATCTCCCGATTTTTAAACTTGAAATAAATCAACTGTTATGTGTCTTCTACCAAACTGCAAGTCTTTCTGTATTAGAGCATATCAGATCATTCCTGTTTAAATTTTCTATTAAAAATCAATTTAAAGTTGGAAGAAAGATATTGCACACTACTCAGCATTACAAAATAAAATCTAACAGTTATTTAATTAGAATAGAAACTGAGTTTAGGGGCTATTGAAGTGTTACGTGCTTATTTTTGCTGACAAAAGGAGCCTGAACAATATCAACATCATTCACTAAAGTTTTCAAAAATCTCTTATAAGTTTTAAAAATAAATAATTCAAAGTACAAATGATAAAATTCAAAAACATTAATTTATTTGAAGAAAAAAATTAATACAAAAAAAGCCTATACTTCAGCCTATCGTTATTTTTTTCAGCTCTTTCAAATACAAATGAGATACGAAATAGTATGATGGATGTTATTTCCAGTCGTTTCTGGGGAAAACGTTTTTTACACATAGAATACCCGTTCTTTCAATAATGTTTCGGAGAATTCTTTTCAGGAATTATTGCAACAATTAACAAAAATAAACTAGGGAACAATTTCCTGTTTTGAAATGAATATCTTGAAACAAAACTAGATATTACATCAAAATTGACGCAGTTTTAAGGAGGAGATGTATCAAAAGAAAGAGTTTAAAAGTTTTTACTATATAAACCTGTAAGAGATGTTTAAAGCGAAACAAATGATGTTTAACGGAAAAATAAAAGCTTCTCACAAAATAATAAGGAGCTTAAAAGGAGTTGAGGAGGAATTGCAACAGGCTGCTAAAAAGAAATTATATTTTCTGGACTACTTTATAAAGGTGAGCTTATTTAATCTATATTATTTTTTAATATTTATTTATAGACATTAAATGAGAGCAAAAGTCCCATTTTGAAAAATGAAATTTAACGTTTTTACTCTTTAATCTAAAAATATAATTTTAGTCACCTTTTTGAAGGAGATTTTTTTATCTTAAGCATAATAAAAGAGTATTCCCCCAACATCCCGTTGTGAGCCAGGGGTAGCATGGAGGTTAAGGCTCTACAGTTTTGAGACCAATGACATGATTGTGTGACTAGAAAGCACTGCGCACAGACCGTCTTTACTTTCAGACAACATTTTAGTGCCTTAACCAATGAGCCCTCACGACTCTTATCAAAAACTAATTTTTCTACCTATGTTTTTCTATTATTCATCAATCCATTCAATTCAATTTAAGAATACTTCAATTAAATTTTGATTCAAACAGCTAAAACAAACAAACTTGTCTAGGGAAATTAATTTTTAAACAAATAGTTTTGTGCTACTCTCTTAACTCCAATTAAAACATCTGGTAAATCGGATATTTTTCTTCAACACTTGCCGCCCAACACATTCTGTCAGTTATTGTCTTCATAAAATACTTTTCCTTTTACTTTTGAACTGTATTTCATAAGAAATATTTTCATTTTAATTCAAGCTTTGTATGTAAGTTCGATTACAAAATGTTCTCTAAATTATATACCTATATCTACATATATATCATCTTAAAAAAACTTTTGTTCGAATATGAATTGTAGCGTAATAAAAATCAGTGGTAATGGTCCAAAAGTTGACCACAAATATTCTTATTGATTTACTATTAATTGTTACGAAATCAAACACAAAAGTTTCCCTAATCTTCTTAAAATTACCTTTAAATCATTTTTTTTCTTCAAAACTTTAGGAAATAACGGCTCATTTATTGATTTTAATCAATTGTGAAACCAGACTAACAATTCATGCTACTTTTTGAATACTTTTTAGATTCGGATGTTATAATTATTATTAGTAAGTAATTATTTATGTTTCAGGGGGATATAAAACCAGACAAACTTATTATTCATGCGGGATCCAATGATATCATCGATGATTTACCTTCTGTCACTTCTTTGGTGATTTCCAAATTGAAAAGTCTCGTAGATGACATGAGAATATCTCAAGAATCCGAAGACAGATTTTATGCATTGTCAGGTATTATTCCAAGAAATGATCCTTTGATGACATTTAATAATAAGGTACGATTTCATTGTTTAAAAAGTAGATTGATTTATTGAATTACCTTTCTAACTCTTTTAATTTTTAGAGTAAATTAATGTAGCACAAATATTTTCGCACATTTCTTGAATTCCCTATTAAAAAGTTAAATTTCTGAACAAAGGGTTCAGAATAACAAATATGCTCAGGTAAACGTTAATAGATATTTCGCTAATAGATTATATTATTATTGATAATATTATATGTAATATTATATGTAATATAAAAATATTGCTTTTGTAGTGGTACGAACCTCAAAAATTCTACAGTAATACAATGTAGTCGTATTGACATTCGAGCTAAGTTATGATACGCTTTTCGTTAGGTAATGTAGAGTGCGAAAAAAGGAAAGAAAAAACGGACCACTCTGAATAGCTTTTGATCTAATGATCGGATCTTTACATTCTGGTACTCAATGTTAATGGTTCGAAGGGGCGGCCTCAAATATACTAATTAATAAGTGTAGACGCTATTTTAAGTTACGAAATCAGACACAAAAACGTATTTTCTCTGAATAACCATACCTTTTTTTCCGATGGATGTTAATTTTCCTTAATGTTAATTTTGCTTTTTGCGTATTTTACCATATCTCGAGAACTTTTTAAGCGAATTGAAAAAATTTTGCACACAATTATAAAATTCGTTTATCCAAAGGTAATTCCATGCAAAAAATAATTTTTCGTAAATATTTATTATTTTTTTATTGTTTTATTTAATACTGGTCGAAAAAATTTTGAACAGTGAGGTACACAATTTTTTGCATCATTTCAAAGAATATAAAAATCAGATATTTCATAATCAGATATTTAAAATTTGATTTCTCAGGAACTATTTTACCGATTTTGCTCAAATTTCGTATTTTTTAATGTGAAATTTGATTCTTTAAAATAATGCAAAAAATTGCATAGCTTACAATTCAAAAGCTTTTTTGACCATTGTTAAAAAAAATAATAACTAATAAATACTTTTCTAAAAGTTATTTTTTGCACGTAATTACTTCTGGACAAGCGAATTTTATAATTCTGTGCAAACATTTTTTAATTAGCTTAAAATATTTTTCGATATAACGAAATACGCAAAAAGTAAAATTAATATTAAGGGGTTCAAACTTTGTAGCGTTCTTCTGATCAAACTTGAGATCATATTTCCCAGATTGTGGTTACCCCTCACATTTTGGGGGTCAGAAGTCCGAATCCGTCAGGAAAAAAAGGTATGCTTATTCAGAGAAAGAACGTTTTGAGTCTGATTTCGTAACTTAAAATATCGTTTTCACGTATTAAATAGCATATTTGATGTCATCCCTTCGAACCATTAAGATTAAGTGTTAGAACATGAAAATCCGATCATGAGATCAAAAGTTATTGATGTGGTCCTTTACAGAGTGGTATACAGAGTGGTCTTTTTTTTGCACACTGTTAATTGTAATTACATCATGTTAAACTTTTCGTAAGGTAATGGACATTGTAGTTGGATTGTGATTGAGTTTTCTCAAAAGAAACGTGGAATGTAGCTTAATTAGTTTATCAGGTGGGGCAATCTGTCGGGAAAGATGGGAAAAACTAGAGCTCCATAGTGCAGTCATCTATGCGTAAAGGAGAGTTTATTGTTCGAATCTTCGCCAAGGTTCGAATTGTCTAGAGCAGAGGTCGCCAAAGTGGTCTATATAGACCCCCCAGGAGTCTATTTAACATAAGCGGGGGTCGATCTGAGCCAGGGGGTCGAATGGGGGTTGATCCGAACCAGAAGGGTCGAGTGGTCGAAGGATTATCAGTATTTTTCAGATATGTGACAATTAGAAATAAAAGAAGAAGACTTGGAAATATATACTGGTAATCTTCAAAAATTGAGCGACGATTTTAAACTGCGTTTTGTTGATTTGGAAAACATTGACATCCCTGATTGGATTATTGTGCCATTTTCTGCTCAAATTGAAAACGTGGACATCAACCTGCAAGATGAGCTTGCTGAATTATTATGGGGATTTGAAGCAAAGACGCTTTTTAAAAATTTAACAATAAGCAAATTTTGGACAAATATAAATATAATGCAAAAATATGTAAGACTTTACGAAATAGCTCAGCCATTTATGATAGCATTTCCAAGTTCCTATATGGTTGAAGCCGGTTTCAGTCACGTAAATTCAATCTTAACTAAGAACAGAAATAAATTAAATGTGGAGTTTCGAGGGGATTTAAGATTAAAATTGACCAATTTTGAACCCAATGTAACGAACCTTGCAGAAAAAAAAACACCAGGCACACCCATGTCATTGATTAAGAAGCAATAAATCCGTAGTTACTTTACTTATTATTTCTACTTACTTATAATTACTTATTATTTCATAAATATTAAGGTATTTATATTTCAACATTAATATATTTTTCATAAAACTATTGTTACACTATGTACTATTACTTTAATAAATGTTTAAAATCATAAAATAAATGTACAAACACAGTATCTAATAGAGTTTTATTTCAATTAACAGAAAATTACACTTATGGGGGTCGATGGAGATTTCGAAAAATTACGTAGGGGTCGATGATCAAAAAAGTTTGGCAACCCCTGGTCTAGAGTCACCATTTGGGAAGTGCAGAATATTGGAAGGAATAGAAGGAATACTGCGGTGTCATCGCTGCGGGTCGAACACGCATCCGACCCCCAACAGGTTCAACCCGTCATGAAATCGACAAATTAGCCATCTCGGCTACAATAATTTCCGATATTAGTCCTATATGAAGATTAATCTAATATTTTGTGTCCATTATTCAGCCAATATCGGCCCTTCATAGAATTGTCTATTTAACCCGATATTTTCCAGCCACTTTTCAACCGATATCAGCCCTATATAGAAATGTTGTTGCCCAATATTAAAAGCCATTCTGGGACCAATATTAAAAAATGTTGCAGATAATATGATCAAATAATTGTCCAATTGAAGCTTTATTTTCTTACCTTTTTTTTAAGCATCTAAAAACTATTTAATAAAATAGTTTTTTTGATGTTACATTTGTATAGTTAGCGGCGTAGATGTCTAGAAGTTAGAAAAAAATTAATTTTTAATGTATTTATCGAAAACTGTTACAATAATTTATGTTAATTCCTGTCACTAGATGATATTATAAGTTTACTGTCAAAATTTCACTGTGAATTAAACTTAACGTGTATTTGATACTTATTAATTTCGCAAGTATCAAATGTAGTTATCAAGTGCTGATACATTGGACAAAATGATAATTTGTAAAATGACTAATGAAATGGAGCTTATTGAGATAAAAAAGAAAAGCAATACTGACTAACTAGTTAAAATAGACAGGGAATTGAAATAGTTATAAGGTAATGAGTAATTGAATGAGAGCAGGTGAAAACGTAAACAAACGTCGTTGGTTGACAAGTTGAGAGAGATGGATCATTAAAATGGAGAGATTATCAACGCAGAAATAAAAAAATAACTGTAAACATTTACGAATTATACCTTATGAGTATGCATCATTTTAATACCTCATAAAATCAGACAGTTATAGTAATTTCTTTTACATAAATATTTGACTTTACATAAACTAATTGAAGACGCCTTAAAATTAATGAGATGAGAATGGTAAATTTATGTGTTTCCATTGTAGTTTGCTTTTTAGTTTCTATCGATTTTGGTACACTGACCAAAATATGTAGCCTTCTTTTTCTATGGAGCTCTCCGTTTACCAAATTATACATAAATTATTATAATGAATTGAATGATTTATGTAACTTCTTACTCAACGAGGGAAAAAAAATTTCCGTATTTTTTATCTCCAAATTTATAATACCGCTTAAGTTTACTGATATCTTATGAAGCGTGGGACACATAAAGTAAGTTAGAAATGATAAGTTATGCATTTAAGAATTTTAATGATTGTGTTTTAAAATTTGCATAAAGCACACTTTTTTTTCTATTTTTCATTTTTAAGATTTGTTTTCTTGTGAAGCATACTCATACGAATAGAACATACTTTCGAATATTTAATGCCATAAATAATTTTTAAAAAATAAAAAGAACTGTAATTCAAATTGCTTGGGCCATCTAGAGCAGTGGTTCCCATTTTTTTTTTTGGCTATGGAACCCTAAATGATTCTTTTAGTGGAACCCCGTCATTAAAAAAAATCATTGGCAGTTAAGAATGTACTAACCGAAACATTAAATAAATGATGGATTATTGATTGAACATAAATATACTTAAGAAAACTCTAACTTGCAGAATTCTAATAATCCCTCCGCGGAACCTTAGAGTTCCACGGATGACCTTAAGGGAACCACTGTTCTAGTCTTAGAAATTCTGGGTAAATGACCCTTACAATGGCTCTGAGTTCCTTAAATGAATGCTCCTTAATTTAACAGTAGTATTTATTGTCTTTTAGGTGAATTTAATAAATTCAAATGTTGGTTGGTATGCCCAACGAAATGGTATAGAATATATAGATCATTCTCATATATTTTGGCATAATGGAGAATTGCGTAAAGATTTATACCATTTTGATGGTTCTTTAAACGAAGATGGTTTGAGAAAAGTTGAAGAATCTTTATTTGAAGATAGTTGGTGTCGAAGAAATGACTATAATGATGAAGCTTGGCAGCTAAGACAGAAATTAAGGTAGAAAAGATCTATCATTCTATGAATAAGAATTAAACAAAATTAAACTTATATTCGTATTATATCTTAAAAACTAAGTTATAAACTGTATGAATTTTCTAAATTCTGGCTTTTGTCTATGAAGTAGCGGTATGGTAGTCCTATGGCTATGACTGTATGGCAAAAGGTACCAATGCTTATGGAATAATTTCCTCATAAGTTATGTCACATCATAGTCCTATAACGGCAAAAGTTTGCCATAAAAATACCATTTTACCTTACGGGGTTTTGCTTCTAGTAAAATTTTCCCATTCAGTTTTGCTACTTGCGAGAGGCAAAAATTTTGCATCCACATATAGCAAAATTTGCAAAAGCATATGGCAAAAATTTGTGATACGCATAAGACAAAGGTGTTAGATAAAATTTTACCATAGGTAAAACACCATAGGAAAATTCTATGGTACTTTTTATGGCAAACCTAAGGGAAATTTTTCTAAAGGTCATATCGATTTACTTAGATTTTCAAAAAGTTCTCACTAACGCAGAATAATTTTCAGAAATTTATTTTATTAATTTCAAAAAAAAAAAAAATACACGAAAGCCTGCAGATGGGCTAAAAACATGCTATCAACAATTAAATGCACAAACGAACTAATATAAATAAAAAATTAACGAAATTATTCTTTATCTTTTTATTATTTTTTAAAAAAACTCAGTCACTAAGATGAGCCTCTTTTATACAATTTTGTGATACGAGTATTAAAACATGTTTGTAGAATTGTTGAAATTTGTGAAGAGGGTTGCTTATTAGTTAGGATTAACTAAGTTTGATATGAATAAAAAGTTTTGCAAAAGTTATGAATATGAAAAAAGTCGCATAGTTTTGTAGTTTACTATTATAAAACTAAATACCTAAATATACTTTGTTTACTTTTTATAAAAAAAGAATTCTAACTCTGTTTATGCCTAACTTTTCTTTCAAAAATTGAGATTCTAATTTATTTGTGGATGATTGAAATTTTTATAGATTATAGTTATGTTTCTGAATTTAAAAGGAATAATTTGTGATGAAAATAATTTTTCATTTAATTTTAATATTTAATAAAAATTTAATTATTAATGAAAATTTAATTTTTAAAATTTAATTTTAATGAAAATTAAAAATTCATAATTAAAAAAATCCATTGAAAAAAATAATAGTTCAACATTTTAAAAATAATAAATAAATAAATAAATAAATTTATTCTGGCTTAAATTTGAGTAAAATATTTTTTAGTGATATCCATTCAAAACAAATTTGCTAAGATTATTTTCGAGATTTAAATTTTTTTTTAAAAAATCACTGTATTATTTTAGGAAAAAATACGAATAAAATGTCTATGTTCAGGGAATGTGCAAAGCTTGGTTAAATCGTCTTTGAACTGTTTTCGAACAAAACGCTTTGTTGAACATTATACCATTTTTCAAAAAATGGGGTTACTAAAATTCTATTTCAAAAATATAAAACTGAGGAAATGTATTTTTATTAATTTATTTAAAAAAAAGTTATAACTGCTGGAGAAAACAACATGTTTTAGTTTATTGAATTATTGAATTTCTTTCTTTTTTTTTTAATTTTACGCAAAAAGATTTTTATACTGGCACTCATATTTTACCCAAAGTTTAAAAACTCAACATTTTGATCAGTCAAAAACGATTTGAGTGATTATATCTACATCTTTAGAAAAATATTTGTAAAGGAGTACATTTTTTATAACATAACTCATCAAAAAACAGAACTGAAAGAAATAGTTTCAGGTATTAATTTCAATAATTCAAAATTACCTAAAATCTTTTTATCAATATAAGATAATTTTATGAATAAAAAAAAAAGAAAAACTAAAATAAACAAATAACAGTAAGAATTAAAGTAAGTGCAGAAATCGCAAATTTATAAAATAATTAGTAAAAGATTTAGTAAAATAAATAGTTAAAAGCATAACTGCCAATGTTTTACAGTATCTATTTTGTAGTTTTATATATGAACTTTTATTTTTTGAAATAAAATTCCTTAAAAATGAATCAAAGATGAAGGATTATTTTCTTTCTTTGTTTAGGCTTAGAAAACGGCCATCATTAGAATTGAAAGATATTCTGCCGATGGAAAGGAAAGTCTACGATAAACACTTACCACCCAAGAAAGATGGTAAATGGCTATTTTTAATTATTCCAAATGAATACTTTCTTCAGAAATATAGTTCAAGACTTATGTTTTAAAGGTCAACCAACGACGGTGCGTTTTCATGTGACTGTTTTAAGTGTGGATTCAATTGATGAAGAATCTATGGTAAACATTTTCTTTATTTGTTAGATCCTTTTAAGAATTTTAATTAATCACTGTAGCAATTAATGGAAAAATCAAGCAAATTTTAAAAATTCAGGAACAGCAGTAACCCAATTATAATTCCTTTCGACAACAATTCATTCATGAGAAGAAATGTTGCTGAAAAAAGTAAACGTTTATAAAGTTCAAAACAAAAGAAAACGCAATAAAGAAGTTTCATTCCTAATTTTCATGAAAATTAATTTCAACGCAAGCTATAAACTATTTCTAATCAGTATTGATAAAAATAAATAGCGTTACTTCTTTGTTTAATATGTCTACAATTGCTAATAAACTTGATTTATTAAAGTGGGCCAAACGAAAGTCAATTATTTAGGGTCTCATAATAGAAAAAAATTGCGAACCGCTACTCTAAAAAACATTCTCTTAATTGATAGATTCAAACAGTACATTAAAAATTTTATTCATTACTTGAATCCAGGATCTGTATTAAAGGATACAAATAGAAATATGTTAATGAAAATTTTGCGTGTACTTCTCTACGGTGACTCCGAAAGAGATGGAAAAAAACTCTCCTTGAGACACTCATTCATTAAAAGTTTTTATCACAAAATATATCCAAGTCTACACATTATTTTTAATCTCTATATAGAGTCGCCATCTGTTTCGTTTATTATCTGAAACGCGGAGACTATGCTTATTTTTCTTTGACCATTGTATTTTAAATCGAATGCATCATTGAAAATGGAAAAAAGAGACCATCTTTTCGACATAAGTCATTGTGTGCGTTTGAAATCTTTACAATATTAAGTTCTCTCTTTTTTTTAAAAATGGAATTGCAACTTTTTATTAAGAAACTCTTTCCCTTGATCTATTTGTAACTTAAGGGTTTCTTTTCAAGAAATGATACTCGCACAATTCCTACGCTTCAATACATGTCAAGATGTAGCAATAACCATCGTTAAAACTCGTTCTCCCTTTTAAATCTGCTATGTCAGTTTGAACCTGAGAAGCGTAGACGAGTTTTGTGACCATTATTTTTTCTCTTGTCCAGATACTTCTCCTTTCATCAATCGGAAAAAAGCTTTTACCCCTCCAAAACTCGCAGATAGTTCGGGATCATTAAAAAAGTTATTCAAATGCCTTCTGTCAGAGAGACAAATGTAGTGTTACTTTCTAAAAAGTGCATAGCAAAAATGATAACGATTTAAAAATAATATATATATATGTATGNTTATAAATTTCTAAAGCTGCACATTTGAAAAAATTTTTGAAAAAAAAATTCTACTTGTGAATCTACTTGTGAAAAGATTGCATTTCGCAATCAATTTGGTTGTTTTCTGAGCTAATGTGATAAAAAAATAAAGAAGAATAAAATTAAATGCTTATATTATATATATATATATATATATAAATCGAAAGCAGTATGAAAAAAAAGTTAATACAATTTAAAAAAATTTAAATACACTTATTTAATAAAAGATTATTAACCAGAATTAAGCATCACGGATTTATCTAAATTCAGAAAAATAAAGAATTCCTCTATGATCCTAAAATATCAAATCAGCGATAACATTTGCAACCATACTCCATTGAGGATCCCCTCATATTGATAAAACGATAAGTCACTGAACTGCTACCGTATCCCCATGGATATGCCGTCACAGTGATAAGATGAAAGGTCATTAGATGTCATTACGACCGGACTACTACACGGACTACTTTTTTTCAATACTACTCGGAGATTATAGAAAACAAAGTTTCGAAATTTTCAATACCAAAAATGAATTCTCACTGTTTTTCATAATTTGTTTACATTAAAAAAAATTAGAAGAGCGTGCAAAAATATTATTATTTTTAAACAAGAACTTTATTTGAATGTGAATTTACTCACGGTCAAGATGGCAAACATCATAATATACTTTAGTATATTAACCAGTAGAATCTATAATATGAAGGTGGTTAAATAAAGTCCATCGATCTTTCTCTATCTATTTTTAATGAAGAGAAATAAATACTAATAATTCCATCCCCACCTAGGTCCCAATCAAATCTTGTCTGGGCTGATGAAAAGTGGCTGATTACTTGCCGCTATTGATCACGAAACCCTAATTTGAACGACCCTCAGGGAACTGCTGCAGGAATACTTTATTTAATGTCACAGATAATGTGAAATCCCTAAAAAGACATGAATGTAATAGATTTACTTCCACTTTTTTTTTCCTTTCCCTGGAAAGTAAGACAACTGATATTGTTTACTATTTATCAAATGTCACACGCAAATGAATAAAAATTCCCAATTGTCTTTCTGCAAAATCTCTGCTTCTGAGTTGTACTCCTAAGGAAATTATATATAAAAGAGGCGATATTCAATTATCTTATATTTACTATGATGATATATTAAAAATGTGTATTTGACAAATGCTTATTTTTGACAGACCTACGTAGCAGATATATTTTTAGCCCAAAGTTGGCAAGACTATAGGTTAAGGTTACCAGAAAACATGACGGAAGGATATAGAATCTTAGATGTTGGGTGGTTGCAATACATTTGGAGGCCAGATTCATTTTTTAAAAATGCTAAAAAAGTTACTTTTCATGATATGAGTGTTCCAAATCATTACTTGTGGTTGTACTATGATAAAACTCTTCTTTACATGGCAAAGTAAGTCATTAGAATTTTTTTTCATTTTTTTAAAAAAGATGTTTTAACATTTAATACTTAGTCTTTCTTAATATTTTCATACCATATCTTCAATTTCATTTAGGGTGTGTCGGGGTAACATAAGATGGATATTGGACCCACAGTTACTATTTGGTATGTTAGGTGGCAACATAACAGTCGAAAAGGTGAAGATACATGAACATACCAATATAGAAAAAAGTTGATAGGAAAAGTAACAAATCGTCAAATATATCTTATGGATGGTGTTTTCAATACAAATGTTGGTTGGTTCTAAAGCCACTTGCCACACGGGCAAGCCTACCTGGGTGAAACCGAGCAAATTTAAGGCAGAGTGTGCGATTCTTGTTTTTTCAGGGGCGCCATTTATGGCCAAGAATTCGACTTCTGCCACATCACACTTCACACCTGTTTATAAGGCGGACCCATTCATACATCCATTCATTCATCCACACATCGTAATTTTGACCTGAATCAGAGAAAGATTGAACTCCAATCCAGTACCCCCAGAGTTATTGATCAATATAAATGTAAATGACAACAATCTCGAGCTTTTGGTCTCTCTACTTCCGGTTTAAAAGTATACAGTTGCTTATTTACGGCTTATTTTGCGAGGCGATATTTTCAAACAGATAATTTTGTCTTAAATAAAATAAATAACTAACGTAATTTCTGATCTCAAATCTGCTTTACTTCATAAGATATTAATAATATAAAGTAATTCTGAATTTGAAGAGAAAATTTGTTTTAGTTATTAATCGATGTATAGTTAAAAATGTTTACATGGTTGCTAAATTAAGAAAGAATTCTCTTCTTTGGCAGTCCTGATTTTTGTCTCTTAGTAATAAACTTAGTAAATTTTGTTTGATTAGTAATAAACAAGTAAAAACTTGTTTATTACTATTTGTTCTTGCTGCAAGCCATGTACCATCATACGTTAATGTTAGCATATTGTTCGAGCAGCGAGATTAAGTTCATTTTACAAATTATCATTTAGGCTTAAATTTCGAAGTTGGTATATTATTGACAAGGTAAGAAGTATTTTATAACAATTCGTTTTTTCAAATGATGAATCTTACGCCCCGAAATATCAAGTCCTTAAATGACGATTCTTATAACGATTCTTTTTTTTTTAAACACAAATAATGAACCAGGTAAAAAAATACAGGTACACAAAAAATACTACCGAAGAGAGTCTCAAAACACAATGATCACGTTGTCAGCCAAATGACTTCAAAATACACCGGAAGTACAGGCAATAAGGCTTGTAGCGCACCCTAGTATAGAAAACACCATCCATAGATAACACTTTGTGTAGTGTTGTATTAATTAGTTCAGATTCGATTCAGACGTTGCAACGTGAAACTCTCTTGTTACTAAATACTTTTTACCATAAATAGTGTTAACAATAAATGCTGTTTCTAATGACTCTTCAACAAGACAAACTCACCAGTCATTGGTTTTACGCCAGTCATTGGTTTTAAGTCTGGAAAAATTGACTTTCCTTTTCCAAGAGAGCACCACTAAGGTGAAAGTGCAGCCAAGCCCCCGAAGAGATGACCGCACCACGCATTCGTGAGGAGAGTTTCAAAATTTAAACATAGATCTGAAGAAGGAAATTTTTTGCCGATTACTGTGCAGATTCAAAAGTCGATTTCTCTGGAAATCACTCAATTTTTGTATTTTGCCGTTTAAAATTACATTCTTTAAAATGATGTGAAAAGTTGTATACCTTACAATTCAAAAATGCTTCAACTGTTATTAAATAAAAATAAGTACTTAATAAAAGTTATTTTTGCGTGAAATTATCATTAGACAAATTTATACTTGGGTGCAAATTTTTTTTTAATTCGCTTTAAAAAGATTTCGAGATACCTCGAAATATGCAAAAAGTAAAATTAACATTAAGGGTTCCAAACTTTGGACTCCTCCTGATCAAATTATTGGGACCATAGTTCCTCGATTGCTGCTACCCCCTATATTTTTGGAGTCAAAAATCCGAATCCGTCAAAAACAAATGCGTTTATTGAGAGAAATAGCGTTTTTGTTTCAGATTTCGTAACCTAAAATATTGTCTGCTCTAATTAATTAGGATATTTCAAGTCACCACCTTCTAGAACGTGAAGATGTAATCATTATGAATCAAAAGCTATTTCTTTTTTTCTACTGTACATTGGACACGTTTTTTATACGAATTTTAATACAAATGTCGAGTATGAATTTTTAAGCATTTTCATAAAAATAAATTCAACATATCACTTTGAAATGTAAATTAAATATTTAAATACTATTTTCGATACATTCAAAAAAGAACGTCGTTTACAAATGTAATCAGGTTGACTTGCAATTCATCACCTATATATTCTTTAAAAACGCTAACACTCAGTTAAGCATATTTTAAAATCAAATCAGTGAGTTAGATTTTGTAAGTTAACAATAGGACGATTATATTTCGATAGTATTCCATTGAATTATTTAACAAAATAAAAAACACAAATTGTACTTATAAATTAACTTTAAAATGTATTGAAACTTCTTTATCAAACGTGTTAATATGAGGAAAAGTAGACATGAGTTAAACTATCCTACGAATTTAATTATCCTACAATAAATTTAATTAGCTATAATACCTCGATGAACGAATTTATGACTTTTTTATAACTTACAAAGGGAACAAAATACATGCTTAATTAAGTTAAATAAATCAGCTTTTAGCTTACCGCAGGGACATTAACCCGTTTTGTCCCGATTTTATACATTAAATTTGATACAAAAAGTGGTTTTATGGAAAAAGTGGTATAATATATTATCGAAATTAATTGGTTTTCTACTGTTAGAGCATGGTTACTGTTTAAAGGAAAAAAAAATTATAACAGCGTAGAGAATATTAGATGCTAAGTTATTCTNGGACATTAACCCGTTTTGTCCCGATTTTATACATTAAATTTGATACAAAAAGTGGTTTTATGGAAAAAGTGGTATAATATATTATCGAAATTAATTGGTTTTCTACTGTTAGAGCATTTAAAAAGTTTTTGATAGATCAAAAAGTACCTGCTCCTTATGGTTCTAGATCTAATCAGAAATAACTAAATCATTATGGTATCTGAAAATCTTTTAATTCACCTAGATAAATGAAAATACTGAAAAAAGTTTCGCATCACAATGAATGTCTTTGAAAAAAGGAACTGTCCTAAATATATGACGCTGGGCGTTAACCGGTTAAATGAGACAAAGTTCATGGACATGTTCATCATTAAAATTAGAGAATGAGAATTACGACATTTTCTTGTCGTTATTAAAAAAAATCCTTTTTTTTTTCTTTTTTGTTTTAAAGGAAAAATTTTTTTATAACAGCGTAGAGAATATTAGATGCTGAGTTATTCTTCGATATCAAACAAAAAAATTTAACAAATTTCTAGAATACGCATTGTTGTTGTGTTGTTGACGTATGCCTGTATAGGCAGAGGGGTGCGATTGCTCTTGTTTTCCAGTGGCGCCATTTATGGGCAAGAATTCGACTTCTGCCACACCATACGTCGCACCCGTTTATAGGGCGGACTCATTCACTCATCCACAGATCGTAATTTTGACCTGAATCAGAGAACGATCGATCTTCAATCCAGTACCTCCAGAGGTATTGATTTATTGTGGGAACATGGAGGACTTCTGCAACTCGACAGATTTAACGTGCATCCCGGCGGGGTTCGAACCTACGAACTCTCGGACATGGGTCCAGCGCCCTATCGATCAGGCTATCCCGGCCTAGAATACGTATTGTTTTGACCTAAAAGTCTTCATTATCCACCGAGGGGGAATGATAGTTGGAAACTCGACTGTTAAGTTCTCTCACAAAAGGATGAGCCAGCCCTGAATTTTACTTAATTCTTCAATAACTTACTTCGAAAATTTTTAAAGCTTCTTGATTTGTGTAAGAAAATTATTTCTGCAGTTTTCAAAAAACAAAATTTCGAATAATGATATTTTTATAAGTTCAGACGCAAGTTTCATTAAGGTACACATTATGATAAAAAGTCTCTCAAAACTAAAAAGAATAAACCTAGTACAATATTTCGGAGTTGAATCAACGTGTCTAGTTAGGTGTTATAAGCTTTTCTGGTTTCAAGTATTTAAATATGTGAAATCTTTTTTAGATTGACATTGGAATTATCTTGTGCAATGAAATTTGAAGCTTATCCACATGATACTCAAAATTGTTCCATGATGATAGAAAGCTGTAAGCTTATAAAAATATTTTCAGTTACTCCATCCTAATCTTTTATTCAATTTTCTGTAACATAATTTGTTTATTAGTTTGCTTAAATTTTTTAAATTATTCCCCATTTCTCAGTAGATGACATATTTATTAAACATTTCTGACATTTCCCCCCTTAAAAAATTGCTTAAAAGACAATTTTTAAGAATCTGTATAGATTTTCAAGATGTGTTTGGCAACATAAATATCAAACCATATAACATCATCAATAGATATTTCTGTTTTAATAAATTAGATCTATCATGAATAGATTTCTTTTAAACTTTATAAGTCATCTAAATTGAGAATTAAACATACTAAAACAGGAACATTCTAAAGAATCACATACTGGCCTTTGATACATATACTCATTGTACAGTACACATTCCAATGCATTCATGGTTAATACATGAATTTTTACTTCATCATCAGTCATGAAATGCATCTTGTAAAACTATGAAGACGTTCTTAAGCTTATATATTTTTTACAGCTCTTGTAGAAAATCTTTGATAAAATAGACTTTTAATGCATTATAAGGGTCTACCAGTGATCCGTTATAATATTCTATTCAACACAATAGTGCAAAGACTGCCCTTAATCAGTATTTTTAGAATCCTTATCAAAAATGAAAACAAAAAGCGTACTTATGGAGTATAGCAAAATAATATTTCTACTGTATTGTATAAATACAGTAGAAAGAAGAATGGAATAAACATCTAATCAAGTTTAATTGGAAGCTTGGAAGAGTTTTGAATAAACAACTTCTGCATTTTTCCTATCAAATTTGTCTTGTTGATATAAGTTCCCCTTCCTGTACTCTGATCGGCTCTGTTTGTCTTTCGTAAAATATTAATTTGATATTAATGAGAAATTTTTCTGTTTTCCTTTATGATAAGGATTCTGAAAGTGCATATTGAAGGTGGTCTTTACAGAACACCCTATATAGAAGTCTGAGAAATACGCAGTGAAATTTACATTTTGCTAAATAAAGAAAAAATCTAATTGATTTTATTTACCACCACTTCAAAATTTTGAGTGAATAATGGGAGGTTAGTTTAATAGCTTAAGAATGTCCAGGTAAAACTAAAAAAAAGAAAAAGAAAAAAAAAGTTGTAAATTTTATTATCAGTTCTGCACTCACATTTTAGAAAATTTACTACCCTTAAAGCTTCTCCCCACTCGAAATCTCACATCTGTTAAAGAATCAGAGAATTTTAAAAGCTCGCTTATTCAGAATATACCTTGGATGAATATAGCAACCTGGTGTCCAGATAGTGTATGACTTACTAATGTAAAAATGAGTACCGGGATCTTGATAAATTCTTAAAATAATTTTAAAACTATGATTAATAAGCAGGTTTTATAATAATAAGGATTAAGCAGGTTAATAAGCAGAAAAAAATTAATAGGTTTTCTTCTAAAGTTGGTAAATCTTAGAGTTTGGAAAGTATGTGTAATTATTTTATATCATTCATCAATAATGACAATAATAGCAATAATAATCATAATTGCAATCGATAAATATAATTAAAAATATAACAGTACTTGATAAATATAATAAAAAATATAACAATAATTGATAAATACAATAAAAAATATAATAATATTACTGATAACTATAAAAATAAAATTTTTTGTTCATTTTTCACATAGCTATCATGATTATTCTTTTAATAATAATAATAATTAAATTGTTTCATGTACTTAATTACAAAAAACAAATAACAAAAGAGTTGCTAAAAATGTTGTACCTCGCACTCACTCTTAAGAAAAAGAAAATGTTTCTCATAATATTCTTTTTAAAAACTTTATAAAGATTTTGAAAAGACGTATATTTTATTCCAATTCTAGTATCTCATACCGTGGATGACTTAATATTTCTGTGGAACATTTCCTCACCCCTTGTCGTTAGTGAAGACGTTGAACTACCACAGTTAGATATTGTTGAAAGCAACACAGAAGACTGTACTCTAGAGTATTCCACAGGTATTTTTTCAATAAAATTCTATCTACTTGATAATTTAAATTGTACTCAATAATTGTTGTAGGTTCTCAACAAATAACCGATGTCATTCCATAGGTTTAGTGCAAAGAACCTGATTTTTCTAATCAGTTAACGGCATCATTCTAAAATTAGAAGGAAAACCATTAACGAAAAGAAATTTTTATTCCATTGTATCTTATGTTAAGTAATTATGTTTATACCTGATAATTACTATTTTAACTAAAATTTCTACATATCGTTGGCTAATAAGAAGCCCATTCCAAACAGTTTGTTTGAACTGTTTGCAAAGAGTTTTCAGTTTGTCGTTCTAAATGAGGAAAAAACCGTTGTTTACAAAAATAATTTAAATGGTGAATAAAATAATTGAACAACACCGTTCTGGTTATGAATAATACTGAATATATTTCAATATCGCAGAAAAGAAAATGTCGATAAAAACATTGTGAAGGAGGACTAAACAAAACATACAACATATTGCCAGTCACTGTACATTCTTCTTTCTCTTTGTTGTCAATTATAGCTGAGTCACTGACTCGACCAAACCATATCGATTACTTTTTTGTTTATCTTTATCTAGCGCCGCCGTTATTTTATTTTAAAAATGTGGTTCTAACTTCATATTATGTATTTTACTTCCCATACCTCTAAATAACTCTATCTGAAACTTTATTTCTATTTTTTAAGCAGATAGGCCACTGCTGCTTTATATATGGGTAGAGTTATTAACTTTTTAAAGATGAATTAAACTTTTTTAATCATTCCTAATCCTGTTATAATTAAATCAAATCAGTTATTTAATTTTTATCCCATTTGATAAAAAGCGAATATAAGCACTTTTCTCGTTTCTTAACAATCAATGTAACGGTAAATTTTCGATTCAATACAAGTGTATTAACTTATTAATCTAACAAAAGTTTTGAAGAGTTTTGAATAACGTGAAAATTTGAAAAGTTTCTTGTAATTTTCAATGTAGTTTTTGCATTTTTTAAAAGAAAACTCTGAGTGATAAGGGGTTTTCCACTTATCTCATTTTGCACTATTAAACTAGATTTAATAAAAATGACACTTGGGGGGGGGTATCATCCCCCATAAAAGTATGTTTCCTCTTTTCTAAGGTATTATCATTTGTTATGTTTCAGGGAACTTCACTTGTTTAGCTGTTGTTTTCAATTTGAAAAGGCGACTTGGATACCATCTTTTTCACACGTATGTTCCAACGACCCTCATCGTAGTGATGTCATGGATTTCCTTTTGGATTCGACCGGAAGCAATTCCTGCTAGAGTTACTCTTGGAGTAACAAGTCTTCTTACATTAGCTACTCAAAATACTCAATCCCAATCATCCTTACCTCCTGTTTCTTATGTGAAAGCAATTGATGTATGGATGTCATCCTGTACAGTTTTTGTATTTATGTCACTTATGGAATTTGCAGTTGTCAATCATTATATGGGTTATACTGGAAGTAGCAAACTTATGAGAGGATATTCAGTGGATGAACTCGATAAGGTATATCTTTCTGAGGTAATTTAGTAATGAAAGAGCTTTCATTAGAAATGGTGGGTTAACTAATTTAGAAAATTGAAGTGGGTTCAAAAATCGTCAGTGAAAATCCTCAAAAATTTCATATCGTCAATGATATCTGGGTGGTCATTGCAAAAAGTAAATTGATATGATAATCCATAGTTAAGTTTGTATTACATAATTATGTTGTTATTGTTGATGTGTGCTTGCTTAGGCAGAAGGGGTGCGATTGTTCTTGGTTTCCAGTTGCGCCATCTATGGCGAAGAATCCGACTTCTACATAATTATGTAAATGTATAAAATAGCCATAATAGGTTATTCACTCAATAAAACTGTTCTGTTGTGCTAAGCACATATCTGCAGCCAAGCAGCAAATAACCAAACAATTTATGTTTTTAATTTCAATATCATTTATTTTTACACAAATAAAAAAGGGAGACATCATACGTGGAAGTAAAAAAAAAATGTTTGAAATTAAGCCTGCTGAGCACTTCAAGTCACGCTTTACACAAAACATCGAATTAAATCATTTTTGTTAACATGCTTACTTGATAAAGATAGCGGATTTTCTTCGAGGATGCGGCTTTAAAATTTAGAAGAGATTGAAGATATGTTGAAAACATTTTTTCCATTGCATTTTATACTTTGAAAAAAATTTAAAAAGTTTTTGAACAGCAAGGAAAGTTCTAGATGTCAAGAAGCATGTAGTACATGCGAAATACATCACTCTAATTCAGTTTTGATCGGATTTTCAGGCACCAAACATTTATTGATAAAGGGGTTGATTAGTAATTAGCCAAATAAATAATTCCATTAATAAATAAATATATATTCAAGCACAAAAACGCAATCTTTTTTTAAGAGATCCTCAAACTATCAGGTTTAGATACAATCAATAAAATATGATTGCATCAATAGCAGGAGGGAAAGTGATCTTTGGAATCCTTTAGTATTAATTTCACTTTTTATCTCTATTTAAGCGAATCACAAACTCTTTCCATACAATCGTTAATCACATTTATCCAAGGTATTAATAATTGTTCATTTTTCTTATCATTTTCATTTAACAGTATTCGAAACAATTTTATATAGTAACTTATAGAAATTTTTACATCCCTTAAAACTATGTTTAAACTATTTTAAATGACAAAATACAAAAATAAGTTAGCAGAGTACACTTGAGAAATGGAATTTAAAAATACGATTTTTTTTGAAATTTTATTACTTAAGAATTATTTAACCAATTTCATTTAAAATTTACATTTTGTCATTTAAAATTATATAGTATAAGTTATGAAAACATTCGTATTCGTGAGGGTTTATTGCGTTTTCAACCATTATTGGATTGAATAATAATAAATAATTGTAACAAAATATTTTTGATATCTTTGGATAAAGAAATTTCAAAATAAAAAAATTAATTGATTCACGTAAATAGTATATCAGAATACTAAATAAAAATTAAGGGATCTGAATATTATAAGGGGTAGCTAAACTATTGGAACCATAATATTCAGATTGTGGCTTCCTTTAATATTTAAAGGGTCAAAAATACAAATTTGTCGAAATAACGTATTTTCAGAGAAAAACGTCTTTTGTGTCCGATTTTGTAATTAAATTAATAGCTAGATCTAATAAATTAGCATATTTAATGTCAACTCTTCAGAACATAAAATATTACGGGAAAATCCTATTATTGAAACAAAGGGTGATATTATTATTTTGTGTGTGCAACCTATCTCTACCACATCAAATTAAAGAGAGGTAACAATATGTCGGAGCAAAAATGCAAAGAAGTCCCTTGACTCAGCAGTAATTTTCAAACGTTTAATAGAAAATAAGATATTTTCTTATCTTCTTTTAGTTGCTGCTTCAAAGAAAAAATGGCATCAATGTTCGAGGAAACAGTTTCAGTTCGCCACCCAGAACTCCAAACACATGTTGTGAAGTCGACATTGCTTTGGCAATCGACAGATTTTCCAGGTTTTTCTTTCCTTTTTCTTTCTTCATTCTTAATCTTATCTACTGGTGTGCATATGCATTCACGTGGTGAAGAAATACAAGAATCACAACAATCTTCGTTAATTTTTGTCGAAATAAATAATTCGTTAAGAGAGGATTTTGTTTCTTGTTTTGTATCTAGAACAACATTTTACATTTGTGAACAATTAACCAATTAACTGAATTTATCTTATTAACATTTTGAAGGAAATCTTAAGGGTAATTAGAGGTGCTGCCAGTTGTAGAAATCAAAGTAACCTACTTATTTCTTAACTAAAAACACAAATTCAATTTTAAGGAAAATAATATTTCGTTCAAAAGTGAAGTAATAATTAAAATTAAAATAGAAAAAAGCGAAAACTGAAAAAAAAGGAAAAAAATGAATAGCAAAAAAACAAGGTTAATTTTTTATATTTTAAACTCCCTTTAACGAAATTGAGCTAAACATAAATTTCATTAAAATTATGTTGAATAAAAAAATAAATTAAATAAAAAAGCTAATTACAATCATAGCACAGAATAATGAATGTGGAAGCACCACTAGGCATTACAGCCACTATATCCTACTTGCCACTATGTTATTCCTAACCCCAGCAAATTTCCCTTAACGTAGGAGGGGATTGTACAGTTCAGTTTTTCTTAAAGCAAGTTAAAACATTTCATTTAATTTCTAATGGTAATATCTTGAAAAAAAAACGAAAAAAAATCTTATAATCCTAAGAAAAATTTACTCATGACAATAATCATCTATTCCTGAAACTTACTTTAAGTTTAAACAACTAAAATATAATATACAGGGTGTCCCACAATGCCATGTACAAATTTGGAAGGAAGTCAGAGAACATCGTTAGGAGCCATAATTTCATAGGAAAGCTTGGGTGGAAATCGATAGGTGGTGCTGTATACGAGCACTCAAAGTCGAAAGGTGTGGCTTCCTCATTGCAGCAACAACTCCTAGAAGAAAGAAAGCCTCAGCACGGAGCAATTTAGTAGTCCGACTTAATGAGCATAAACTGCGCAATGGATGAAAAATAAGAAAGATGTCACTACGCTTGGTCTATAAAGCTACGCAGTGATATTTAATACGAAAGATGTCATTACGTTTGAACTACTAAGGGATCAAATTTCCTGTTTATGGTAACCCGTGCTGAGACCTTCTCTTTTCTAGGAGGTGCTGATTGCAAACGCCAGCTACCTGTGCTGAACAATAATCGTTTTACAAAGGCAGAGCTGGCGGACAATCTAAGGCCTAACCAACGGAAATGAACGCAATGCTGTTCAGTTGTATTGGGAAAGATAACCAACGAGAAACCAACCAAATAATCAAATATTCGCTCTGGTGCATCAGAGCCTTGCGTAACGTGGATCCTTCACAGTCAGGATTAAAGGTACTGAGCTGGTGCGAACAGCATGGAAACCTATATTCGAAGAGGGTCTGTTGCATGCTATGAACCGAAATCCTAGTACCACTTTACGGACGCTTGCAGTTGGAGCCAGAGCTTCTAGATCAACTGATCCACGTACTGCGAAACCTTACATCCTTTTTATGTTCAGAGAGTTCAGTTATTACAGTCAGATGATCACGTGTCGCCTTAGATTAGTGGATTCTACACCAAAATGCGGCGGATGTACAATTTTCCAGTTTTGTTTTGTTTATTGAGTCAACAACCTTTTCACGTGGTGGGTTGGTCAATACGCATAACGAGCACAAGTGGGTCTTAAACAACCTACACAAAACTCGACAACGAGCCGCACAACAACGCTTCACTGTTGATGTGGAGATAGGTATTATGGGGAATAACTTATTCTGGCCAGACATCTTACCACCTCAACTGGATACATACGAGTGTCTCCTCGTTCTTCAGGAGGTACTTCCGGAAATGCTTAACGTGTTCGGCATTGAATGTGATTTCAACAGGACGGGACACCAACTCATTACTGAAGGTGTGAACATAACTATTTAGACCTGACACTTAGAAATAATTGGATTGGGCGTGGTGATCCTGTTACTTGGTCACACGGATCACATCATTTAACTCCCCTTGATTTTTTTCTCTGTGGTGCTTTGAAGAGCATTGTGTACGACGCGTTCGTAAATTCTAAAAAGCACCCGGTGGCACGAAATCAATCGCTGCTGCTACGATCAGTAAAATGCCAGATATCTTCGGAAATATTCGCCAAATCCATGTCGCGTATGTGTCATGCTTGTTCCAAGCCAATTGGCGCAATTTCAAAATCCTTCTGTAATACTTGTAAATCATACATTGTATCATAAAGAGTTATGATACAATGTTGTATAATAAAGAGTTCTATACTACATTCTGTGTTGTAGTTTTAGTGTTTTTGTGTCTCTTTGTTACGTGAGGATGACGTTTTCGACAGTGCTTTCCTATGTAATTATGGTTCTTAACGATGTTTCTTACTTTCCCTTTAAGTTTGTATACAGCATTCTGGGAAACCCTGTATAGATTATCAGCTTATAGATATTTAAAATTAAAAAAAACTGGGATGCGCCAAGGCAAAGGGTTGAGAAATTACATGTACTTAATGCCTAAAGAGCATTTTTAAACATTTATTTTAAATCTTATTTAAAGAGCATTTTATTTTAAATTTTTACAGAACACATTGAAAGGAAAGATACTAGATACTAAAATTTTTCTTAGGTAAATAAATGCACAAAAATTTACATCGTAATGACATTTCCTCTCTTTAACCTAGATCAAACTAAATATGACGAATAGCTTAATCCTTGAAGTTATAAACTATAATAATAGTCTTTTACAGATAAGAAAGTTGATCAAAAAGATACAAGTCAAAAAAAGATACAACTTCAATGTCTTAAAAATAAAGGCACACATTTTTTCATTTTTATATCAATACACCTCGGGCAATTCTCTTTATCATCCCCAAAGATTTATCATATTCATCAGTCATAGACTCAAGGCGTGAACTCAAAAACTTCGATATCATTTTGAAATACCACAAAATATACCCCTGTTATCAAAATCTCTCTTAACCAACTCTTTGCCATAAAAAAAAATTTAAAGAAGTGAATAAAAAATCGGATAATTAAATTAGAAAATTATTAAGAATATATTATTATTAAGAATCAACTTCATTAAGCTAACCATTAATTAAAATTGAATTTTTTAATTTGTGGATAAGTAAATAACGAAACATGAAAAATAATTGTTACAACAATTTACAATTAACTAACCATTAGTAGTCAATAAATGAAAGGTTTTGTTAATAGAAAAATTATTGAAAATTACTTAGAATTAAACATTGATTTCGTGGATAAATTTACAATTTTAATAGAAAAGGTTTAATTAATGAATATTATATCTTTAAACATCATTTTATCAATAAGCAAAAATATTGAATTTAATCATAATTAATTAATAGGAATTTAATTAATAAGAATCATCTAAAAGAATGAGAAATAAAATACGACCTATTGGGCTAGGATGTAAAGTAACTAGATGTTCATCGATGGAAAAATAGTCCAGGAAACAACAAAAAAGGTCCAGTTCAAATGCTTGTTTTAATTGTGTTTACTTGTCATCTTTGAGGTGGAATGACGGGTTGTCCATAGTATATATTACCATTAGGAAAATAGACTGCAGCAGAACAAAACATGGGCATGCTTACACCCCCTTTTTTTTGGGCAATTACTAATTATATTGGTGAGAGCCGCGGATGCAGGTTAACGAAAGTAATGGCGAGGATCTTGTCAAGCTCAGGAATCGATAGGCGATGGGTGAAGGCTGGATTATAAACTCCAAGATGTCGAGGGAGCTCCTCAAGAAGGCCATTCAATTAGAAAATAAACACTGCAGGTTGAGTCGTGGTAGTTCAGGGGATAGAGCGTTCACCTTCCAATGAGGTGAAACGGATTCGAGTCCCAGCGATGGCTGGTCGATACGAATTCCGCACCCGGCTTGCACCGACCACCGTGCTGACGTAAAATATCTTCAGTGGTACACGGAGCATGGGTTAGATTCCCCTTGCCGTCAGGCTAACCGAGGGAGGTCTTCGTGGTTTGCCTCTCAATGTAACACAAATGCGAGTTAGTTCCATCAAAAAGTCCTCCACAAAGGCAAATTTCTCCCACTACTTGATCTAGGAGTTCTCCTGTCTTCTGAATTGGGTTTAGAATTACGAGGCTACGGAGTTGAACATTGGTAGTCGTAAACCCAAAATTGGGTCGGCTGTTCAACGGTGGTTATAAAAAAAAAACACTGCTGGTAGTGCCTCCGATCAGACAACTGCAGACCGGTAAAATTTAGAAGACATGTCTGATCAGGGAAAAACTTTTTTACTCCAGCGATGATGCATCATGATTCAGCTCCATCCAGAGAGTGTGAAAAATATTAAGAAAGAAAAATTTCATCTACTTTGGTCATAGTGGAAATGCGCTCATCGCGGAGATGTCTTCGTATTTATGCAGGAGCCTGTTTCTTCCTCAAAATGAATGTTCTTAAAAATTAACTTGCTTCATCCCCACTAGTTTTTGTCAGTAGATTTTAATTTTTGGAAGAGGCAAAGAAGCAGCTTGTTACACTTAAACCAAAACAATAACGACACCTAAACCAAAGCAATGACGACGTCGCACATGCCAATCAAAAGAGCAGACAAACAGGCACCTAACAGACTAATAATTTCTAAGCAGCGAGCTTCAAAGAGGGAAAAGGGTAAAAATTTCAAAAATGAATTCAGTGACCCGATGTTACCGAAAATACGATATCTCTTATCTCCGAATTAACACATTCCAATTAAATGCAATTTGGACTAAGATCAGACTCCTGAATTGTGGGACCATTATTGTCACCCCCCCCCAAATCTATAAACCTCTTTGAGAGCAAAATGTTTTATCTTAATCGACAATGAAGGTTCTCACCGCCTCCTCAGTTATGACCAACACGAAAATCTTTCAAGAAACTTGGTTTTGAGTTTAACTAAACTATTCTAGCTCCCAACCTCACATAAACGTCAATCAAATCAAATTTAAAATTTGGTCTGGTGAAGCCTCCCTGATTGACTGGGAAAAAGCGTGTTCCCTTAACGGGTGCCTCCGAAAGTATTGGAATCACTATATTTCGCTTTCTCTGAAAACTGCAGTATTGGTCCTCGTTAAACTGTTCTACCGTAAAGTGCTCGACTCCGCGTGCAGGTCGTCGGGCTACCGAAGTGGGTGTGCTATCCCCTCTGCAGAGGATCAAAATTGTGATGACATGACTTCGGATCATCCTCAGGGATGTTTCCCAGACCGTCGCCAATAGCCCATTGTGCAGATCTAGTGCGACGTAAATGAACAACAACAACAACTGAAAACTGCAAATTTTGCATCGAATTAGTCTCCTTCCTCACGATCATCTTCACTTCTTCAACTCAACCTCTCCAAAAGTGTTATTTTATTTTGTTTNTTTTTTTTTTTTTTTTTTTTTTTTTTTTTTTTTTTTTGGTTCTGTTTGTTTTTGTTTCGGTTTTTCTCTCTGTTTTTGCTTCTGTTTTTGTTTCGTTTATTTATTTCTTTTTTGACTGCTGCCCTGAAAAAGGTTGTTTAACAATTCCGTCCACAATTGAAATTTCAAAAGTCGAATGACACCTCTCCCCTGGAATCAAAGTTAAGTAGTTACAAGGTCAATTATTTCGAACAAGTTAGCGTTTTCGCCTATTCGAAATTTTGGGAAAATACATTTTTTATTCATCGATCCAAAATCTCTTCAAGTGTATACTTAAGGACATATTTCAATAGAGTTTCTATTTTATCTTTTATTTTATTTTTTTGTTTAAATTACTCGAGTTATATGATTAAGTGTATGAATAGTAAGATGATGGTAAACGGAGTTTTTCACTACTTTTCCTCATCTTTTCTGCCGCTGTTGTTGTTGTTGACGTATGCCTGTTTGCGCAGAGGGGGTGCGATTGTTCTTGTTTTTATAGTGGCGTCATCTATAGCCAAGAATTAGATTTCTACCACACCATACGTCACACCCGTTTATAGGAGCCGACCCATTCATACATCCATTCATTCATCCACAGATCGTAATTTTGACCTGAATCAGAGAACGATCGATCTCCAATTCAGAGCCCCAGAGCTATTGATTTGTTATGGGAACATAGAGGACTTTTGCGACTCGTCAGATTTAACGTGCATCGGTCACTTCACTACACGGGGAGTCTTCGGTAAGCTGGGTTTGAACCCACGAACTCTCGGACATGGGCCCAGCGCCCTACCGACCAGGCTGTCCCGGACCTTTCCTGCCACTCTTAACAAAATAAAGGAATAAATTTAATTTCTAATAATTTTAGTAAGTTTATTTGTTTCTGTTTCAAGCAATTAAATGCTACGTCAAAACAGATTTGCATTTTGGGATTAATTAAATCATTGTCACGTTAGAATTGAGCATAAATGAAATGTTAACATTCTTGTATTTTTACGGCGAACAAAACAGAACAATTTCTATTTATAATTTCTAAGAAATGTATACTAAAACTATTTGCTGAACATATTAATTACATCTATGAAATAATTTGTTATGCAAAAATCTCTTAATATTTCTTATTTTAGTATTAGAGAAATTCTAAAATTAGAAAAAAGAACAATTTTTTGAGATGATGATTCTAAAAGTATCATGGTTTTGGAATCTTTTTACAATTTTCTATTTTTAGTACTTGCTGTTTAACAAAATAAGGCATGTTTAGCATTTTCCTGTTGTTACAATATTCTCTTAAATTATGCTAAAGTTGAGAAATAATATTAACAACTTTTTTTCACAAATCTTTTCAACGCTATCCGTTTTTTAAGGGCAACTTTCTTAAGGCAGCGGGCGAGAATAAGTTTTAACGTCAAAATAAAATTGTAAATCCATAATTTTTTTTCATTCAAAAAACAAAACAAACTGTTGTATTTTTTTACTGTGTACATATGCTACTATTTTACTTTTCATTATTCAAAAATAAGAAACAATGAAAAAAGAACAACAATAATCTATCTCCATTTTTCGAAAAAATAATATGCTTTGTAAATAGTCAGCTGATTTGCATCGAATAATTTTATGCATCAGAATGTTTTTAATTTCATAACAAAATTTAATTCTCAGCTAGCTGCAATAATTCTAATTATTATGCACTTGAAAATAATTTAAAAAGGAATTTTACTTTAAGGAAAAAACCTAAATTAAAGTGCTAAAAACTTTATTAATCTGTTAATGAAAAAATAATATGCGTGGTAGCGTAAAGAATAAGATTTTGAGAAATGTTGAAATTGAATTAAATAGTTTTGCGAAACGCACGCGGACAGGTAATGGTAATTAAAAAATTTATTTTAAGATGCTTAAAAATGTTGACTACGTATTCAATATATTTTGAAGAAATGGAGCAAGATATTATTCCAAATCCATGCATGCGTATGTATATTATTGAAATTATATCAATTATTGAAAGAACAAACTAAAAAATGTACAAATATTTCTCCAGTGCAGCCAGTCCGACCCACCTCCTTAGCTGTGTGGATTTTGTAAAGGAGGATTTTCTGCGCGACCCGGTCTTGTTTTTTTGATTTCCTGAAGGTGAATGGACTCATGGACCTGGTCTAGCTCCGCTAGACCAGTGGTGATGAGAAACAACAACAAACAACAAATTAAAAAATAAAATTAAAGAAAGCTGATGTTTAATCACATTCTCTCAAAAACATGCTTTTATAAAACTCGACATTCGTTGAATAAAATATTTTTTATTCAATAAAGAGTTTTATTTAATTCTCTTTACTAAATTACGAGTAAATTTTTAGACGATAAAAAAAGAAACAAATTTTATAATAAATAAAAAAAGCTTAGCCATCGGTTATCAGGGAAAAAAGTATGAATGAAACTTGACGCTGCGCTCGTGTTCCTCGTAAGTTAACAACATTTAAATATTAATCGCCCCATTTAAATATGTCTTCATTGTTGCCAAATTATTTTTTTAAAAATAATTAATTCTAATTTTTCTCGGCTTCTACTAAATAAAAAAAGTTGAAACTTCACACTTTTTGATAGAGAAATAGGTAGATTAATATGGTATAAAAAATTATACCTCATAATTCAATATTTTTTCATTCTCAATTAAATGAAAAAATAAGAAAATAATAATTATTAAAAATTATTTTTTTCCTAAAATTCTCTTCGGGCAAACTGGTTTTATGAGAGTGTGAAATTTTTTTAAATTTTTAATTAATTTTAAAAATACGACTAAAAACGCAATAAGTGAAATTAACATTAAGGAATCCGAACTTTCGATCACTCTCCTGACTATAGGGACCATATTTCCCAGAATGCGGCTCCCCTCTATATTTTGAAGGTTAAAAATCCAAATATGTTAAAGAAAATATATGTTTATACAAGAAAATAAAATGCTATAAAATAAAATATATGTATATATGTTATAATAAAATACGTTTCTTTGTCTGATTTCGTAATTAAATTAATAGTTAGCACTAAATATTTAGCATATTTGAGGTCACTACCTGGAACCATTAAGATTGACACTTACATGAAAATCCGATCAGAACGGAAATTATTCAGCGTGATATATATAAATATATATATATTTTTTGAGATGGAGTCTCACTCTGTCACCNTTTTTTTTTTTTTTTTTTTTTTTGCGCACAGAACATGCTTGAAACAGAAGTGAATGTAAGCTAACAGAAGAATTAACATCTTTTGGTATGGAAACAAACCTTCAGTTTACGTATAAGAGTGTTAGGTTTCCTAGCGTGTTTCCACGCGCCCAAAGTAAAGCGTAACAAGTTGAACAAAACTTGATATTTTAGTTTGTTTCGCAACAAGAACGAAAGGTTACAAAATTTACATTCAAAGAATCATAGTAGAAATTACTCAAGAAAACGTGACAAAAACTATTCTTGAAAACGCAGTAACAAACTATTCATGAAAAAAGTCATTCAAAATTTATAATTCTAAAAGGGGACAAAAATCGGAAAAATGACAAAAAATAATCATCATTAAACCGAAAAAAGGAAAAAAAAAACAAAAATGCAAAGAAAAAAGAAACTTATTTATCAACAACGTTCTAGCCCTGCTTATTGTCAATAAATATTCTATGGAAAAGAAATTTCTCTCTATAAGTTTTCTCAAAAATGTAATCTTTAGAAAGTTCACCAAATTTAATCTAGATGGCTCTGGATTCCCTGAAGAGTTGACAGAAACACGTGTGAAATTCATTCAGGCGATAAGTAAGTTACTCGATGTTAAAACTGAGTAGAAATAATTGGTTTTATGTGCCTTCAAATGTTTTAGATTGTTGTTGTGAGAAAAAAATTGAATAAGATTCTCAAGTTAAATTCTTTGACAGCTCTCTTAAGGATTCAATTTATATAAATGAAGCAAAATAATTGGTAAGTGAAATAAAATCTATATATTTTAAATCAATTTTTAATAAGATATATATTTCTTCGTTTTTCATTAAGAACATTTTTCATCCATGCAAAACAAAACAAATTCCAATTGAACAAAATTTTCTGGAACCGTCATTGAAATATGTTTACAAATGCTGTAAAAATTGTAGATATTACTGCCGAACAAGTGCCAGAATGTTTATTTTAGTTCAGTCGATCAAAGATTCCAATATAAAGTTTAAAAACAAAAATTCTTTTCGAGTTATTTTATAATCATTAAATAATGTAATTTAGATAAACTGAAATTGGGCACCACTTGTTTAGAACGAATCGCCCGTTTCGTATTGTATTGTTTAAACTGATTATTTATTAATTTCATTAAAAACAATTAGTTTAAAATAACGTTTCTGAATCTGTTCATTTGTTTTCTAATAGATATTAAATTAGTCTGAATTAGATTAGTATTATTTCTGATATAAATTGGAATATTTTGGTATTAAAGCAAATCCTTTTAGTATTGTATTGTTTAAACGGATTATTTCATTATTAAGTTCATTGAAAACAATTAGTTTAAAATAACATTTCTGACTATATTTATATATTTATTTCTATATTTATTTAATACATATTAAATTAGCCAGGATTAGATTAGTATAGATTTCAGCAGTGTTATTTCTGATTTAAATTGGAATATTTTGGTTTTAAAGCGTTTCGTATTGCACAGTTTAAATAAGTAGTTCTTGTTCACAATCTTATTGAAAACGATAAATTTTAAAATGTATTTTTTAAACTTGGATTTTATATGAAATATAGACACTATGGAATTGAACTTTCTAGATTTCTCCATTCTTTAAACACAATGACATTCATTCTTTTTGAAACTACGATTGTTTATCCTCCTATTTATATAGATACATATAATTGCAAATCATGTGATTTTTATTTAGAAATCAAAATATTGTCCTCGAAAGAGAGTAAACTCGTAAATGCGTTAAATTTTGTTTTCTAAAATAAATTTCAATCAAATTTTATGATTATATTTTTATTGTTTCATTTTATTCATAAACAAAATCCAATAATAAAATATTTATGACATAAAACTGTGCAAAAGGTTAGTTGAATGAAATTTCTTTTAATTTTTCATTGTAATGGGACTAATTGTATTTTTATTTAGAAAATGCTTTGTGAAAGCATATAAATAGAATATTTCACAAATAATAAAATTATGTTGTTCAAATATTACAGTTTTAAGAAGTTAAATCAGCATGTTATTTGTGAGGTGCACATTACACGTTATATGAGCTAGCGCGTTCATGGCAAAATTATTTAAGGGTTCCGATTCAAGTCTCATTTTTAACATTTTCGTTGCATCCAGATTAAAGTGGTTTTACTTCATGGGGCACACAGTATAATTGTATTAACAATTAAATATATATAAAATATTAAAACTTTATCAACAAAATGTTATTTCAAATAAAACTTTGTGTATTCATTTATTTCTGAAAAAAATATCCAACAATGCTCGAATAATTATTTAGTTGCATTAAATTCGGGTTCGAATCGAATTGGACGTTACATTTAAAATCTCTAATCTTTTTTCCCGTTGTCTTCCAATGCTCTTTTTCTCTTCTTTCGCTCCCGTGATTATATTTTCGCACGCCTTTCAATCTTTCTACATGCAACCTGTAATAAAGAAAAAGTTTTCATTGCATAAAAAACTTTTTTAATTAAAACTTTGAGATGAACTTTTACAATCTCACAATTATCTCACTTTTACAATTTTTAATTTGCCGGGTTTCTTCGAACTTAGATTAGAAAGAACAACATACATGTTTTTAAATCTTTCAATAAATGCGAAATTGTTTACAAATGATTCGTTCTTTAAATTAATCTCTTTGATTTTCCGTTCCGCAGTGGACTGAATGTAATGACACGGTTCCCAGCAGATCACCGAAGTTAAGCATCACTGGCTGCGGTCAGTGTGCGGGTGGGTGACCACTTGGATCAGTCTGCGTAGGGACTGAGGGTGTGCGGTATTGGTCCTCGTTAAACTGTTCTACCGTAAAGTGCTCGACTTCGCGTGCAGGTCGTCGGGCTACCGCAGCGGGGATGCCATCCGCTCTGCAGAGGATCAAAATTGTGATGGAATGTCTTCTGATCATCCTCAGGGATGTTTTCCCAGACCGTCGCCAATAGCCCATTGTGCTGCTCCATTACGATGTAAATGAACTACAACTACAACCCAGTAAAACATCGAAGTAAAGCATCACTGGCTGCGGTCAGTAAGCGGGTGGATGACCACTTTGATCAACTTGCGTAGGGTGCGCGGTATCGGTCCTCGTTAAACTGTTCTACCAAAATTCTCAACTTCGCTTGCAGGTGATCGGGCTACCAAAGCAGGGCAGCCATTCCCTCTGCAGAGGATCAAATTGTGATGGCATGTGCTCTGATTATCTTCAGGGATGTTTCCCAGGCCAATAGCCCATTGCGCAGCTCTACTGCGACGTAATTAAATACCTACCTATTTCACTTTTCCCGTAATAATCCTTTAATGACCTCATACTTATTTCGGAATTGTTTTCTTTAATCTTGCATTTTTTTAAACCATATTAATTCGCAATTTTGTTCTTAAAAATGTTACTTGTGCTAGATTAGAAGTGTTAAGTACACATCAGATGTTAAAAGGAATTCAGTATTTTTGTGTCAGTATGAAGTAGCTTTTCTACGAAAGGGACCCTTTAAATACTTTTGCTTTCAATTACCAAGATATACTAATATTTTCCAAAATAATTTGACTTCCAATAAAAGATACGATTAAACTAAGATTTCAATCGAATTATTTTTCCCGTTTTATTTATCTGGTATATTTTTGAAACAAGGACTCTGGAAATAAGGACACGTCATTATGACGACGAATAAATATTAACTAAACACTGCATCTTTTTAATTAAGACATGAAACACTTAGTTTCGTTAATAAGTACTATGCAATTGTTAAAAAGTCTGTGCACAAAGGCAAAATTTTTTTACTTATTTGACTGCCTTTCAAAAAAGTTACTCAATTTTTACCATATTGCTTTGACTCTTGCTCGTAAATAATATTACCAAAATAAAGATAAGTTTAAAGAAATAATTTCAATTTCTAAAGGAATTTTTAAGTCAAATAATAAAAAGAATTTCAGAAATATCGTCACAATTGATAATCTTCAGAAACTATAAAAATAATCCGCTTGAAATTTATAACCTGTTCATTTGCGTGCGAAATGTTTTTTTACCGTTTTAATAGATAACTTACTAAAAAAAATAATAAAACTATGCAAATTGTCTTTAATTTTTTAAAGAACCGAAATTATTCCTTTTTGCACTTGATTCACGCTGTTTTGCTTTATTTAGACGTAGTATACCTTTCTTTAATTTGGGTGCTATTTTAAGTTTAGAAATGTTTTCTTAAAAATGCGCAAAATTAGTGTATACTATTTTCGATTTTTCACTCAATAGAGAAAAAAGGTAGGTTTAAAAGAAAAGAAAAATCTAGTTAAATTTGAATATCATCACGCCGAATAAAAAATAATACAATCGTGATTTTAGAAATTCGCTATCTGCTTGTGAAATAATCGCCTCCACTACTAATACTTTAGTTAGTTATTTTTAAAAAACGTATAAGAGATGATAAAAGCTTTTAATCTTATTATCAGTTTGGACATCGCTTAGCTTAGCTTATCTTTTTATGTTTATTTACTCTCATCTATCATTGATATCGGAAGTGATCATTCTTTTGTTGATTATTAGGAAATCATTCAGTAAAATTTTTTTACGTATATGTATAAATTTTAGTTCTAATAGCTCGACAAGCACAAAATATCAGTTATTTCATTTTTTAAAAAAAAAGATAATCAAATGATTATTTTTAATCTGCTAATCTGATTGCGTGAATTGAAGGTATAAGCGCAAACAAAATTATTTTATGTTCGAAAATTATTCTTAAACGAAAAATAATCGAAAATTATTCTATGACGAATAATTTTAATTATTAGTAGAAGACTCCCAGTGTAGTAAATGGTGACTGATGCACGTTAAATGTGTCTAGTCTCAAAGTCCTCAATGTTCCCATAACAAATCAATACCTCTGGTTGTACTGATCCAGGAGTTTCCTTGCCTTCTGGATTGGTTCAAAATTACAAGGCTACGGAGTTGAACGTAAGTAGTCGTAAACCCATGAAATTGGGTCGGCTGTTCAACGACGGTTATAAAATAAAATAAAATGAAATTATTAGTAGGCGAAGTACAAATAAGAAATTAGTTTGCAATCAATATTAGATGGCGTTTTTGACATTGGCGTTAGATTTGCGTCATTTTTAAATTATTAAAATACCCTAACTGTATTGAAATGCTTATAAAATTCTTATAAAATCTAAAGATCCACAGCATTAGTTTATTATTTCCATATTTTTTATCCCTCTGCAGAGGATCAAAATTGTGATGGCATGTCTTCGGATCATTCTCAGTGATGTTTCGCAGACCGCTGCCAATAGCCCATTGTGCAGCTCTAGTGTGACGTAAATAACTACAACAACAACCATATTTTTTATTGATTATAATTAATTTCCTATCAGATTTTTTCTTCCTCAAATAAAATTAGTTAAAGAATTTCTTTTTAATCAGGGCTTTAGAATTGAGTATTGAAGAAGTTGGAGTCTGAAAGTAGAGTCCGACTAAATCCAAATTACTAGAATTCGTCATTTGTTTATTGTCGTTCATAATTGCTTGTCAAAAAAAAATGACAGCACAAATAATACCAGATGAACATGTATTATAAAGTAGTATTTTGCAAAAATGATTCGCATGGATTCGATTGAAGAAGCAAAATACATAAATAATTATGCGAAATTGTATTAAAAGCTGTATTCTGGGTCTCATATTAATTTCAAAAGTGTGCCCTCAACACCCTCATATGAGATTTAGCTACTATCTTGAATTTATAGGGGGGGGGAGAGTTGTACA